GGAAAGGGATCACCGCTACAGATGATAGCGAAGTGATCACTCGGATGCGAAAGTCCGGCGCTATTTTCATTGCGATGACTAATATACCGGAACTGGGGATGTGGTGGGACTCCTATAACAAACTATACGGCCGGACGTACAACCCCTACGACAAGTCCAGAATATGTGGAGGCAGTTCGGGAGGGGAGGCGGCGCTCATATCGGCCGCCGGTTCTGTGTTTGGGGTCTGTTTTGCAATGATTTGTGATTTTATTAAAATGTTTTAATTTTGTGAATTAATGCTCGAGTAGGTGGGCGCAGATATCGGCGGCTCTATCCGTATGCCATGTTTTTTCTGCGGTATCTTTGGTCATAAGACAACTCCAGGAGTTGTGTCCACTGATGGCATGTATCCCGAAGCGTCGCCTAAACGCCAGGAGCTCCTATCTATCGGACCTGTAATTTAATTATTTGCTAAAAATAATAGATTTATTTATTTAATGTTTTATTGTCTCATAAGATGTGTCGATACGCGTGTGATTTGAAGCCAATGCTGAAAGTGATGGCCGGAAGCAGTGGCGCGAAGTTAGAGTTAGACAAAGCCGTGGATCTCAAGAAACTCAGGTTTTATTACATGGAATCGGACGGCAACTCATTTCATACACCCATTCAGCCCGAGATAAGGGACGCCATTCACAAAGTGATCGGTCATTTCAATAAGACGGGCGCCTCCTCTAAGAAAGTGTATTTCAAGCAATTCAAGTACGGCTTAGAGATGTGGTTGACGGCCATGAAAGACCCGACGACTCCCAAAACTGCCCGCCATTTGGCTAATCTTAAGGGCGAAATCAATCCATTGGTAGAGTTCTTCAAGTCGTTGGTCGGCGCCTCCAATCACACGGTCTGTGCCCTCACTCTCTGTATATCAGAATTGATTGCGAAGTCAGTCAACAGAAAGAGATTCGACGAAATGCGACAGAATTTGATCCAAGAATTGCATCAACTCTTAGGTTTGCGACAATAGTTTGCAAGAATTGATAGGAATTTAAAATTTA